CCGAGCACAGGTCATGTCATGTTTTTTAGGCAAACATCGTTCAAACCTGGTTACATATATTAACCCGGATCCCCGATTTCTATATTTTTCGACGACTATAAATAAGATCAAAAATCGTGTTTTAGGAATTTTTAAATTTCTGATTTTAAGTCTAGTTTATGTCGACATATTGGTGAAAAAAATGCATTTTTTTACATTTTTCTCACTAAATTACCCATAATTCAAAATTAAGGCCATTTTTAAAAAATCCTTGAAACACGATTTTCGGGACAACCGTTACGATCATTTTGAGCCGTAAATGGAGTATGAAATGTGGGAACTTTTTTATCTGGAAATGACCGCAGGTGACCCCGAAATGGAACGCGGGTTCGATTCGAATTCCCCAGATCTAACACGATCAAACACAGTTTGGATTCTATAAAATGTGGGAACTTTGAAGCCAAAATTTGAACACCGTGAAGAGCAGGGTGGTCTACCAGTGGGGTGTGGGGAAGAGCAGGGTGGCCTACCAGTGGGGTGTGGGGAAGAGCAGGGTGGTCTACCAGTGGGGTGTGGGGAAGAGCAGGGTGGTCTACGAGTGGGGTCTGGGGAAGAGCAGGGTGGTCTACGAGTGGGGTGTGGGGAAGAGCAGGGTGGTCTACCAGTGGGGTGTTGGGAAGAGCAGGGTGGTTTACGAGTGGGGTGTGGGGAAGAGCAGTCACTACGGCATTCTTTCCCATCGCTAGGCGCGTTCAAAAAGGTATCGGGTTACAAGACGCTATTTTGGCCTGTTTTGGACTACTAGAAAAACACTTGGAAATAAACAAATAGTATTCAGTGGTAAATTTCGTCAAATCAAAATGAAATTATCGTGTTAACATCCTGTTAATGTTAGCTTTTTATGATAAATTATAGATTTTTTAAAATTTCGCTCAGAAAGACGATTATTTTCGGGTTTCCGAGCACAGGTCATGTCATGTTTTTAGGCAAACATCGTTCAAACCTGGTTACGTATATAAACCCGGATCCCCGATTTCTATATTTTTCGACGACTATAAATAAGATCAAAAATCGTGTTTTAGGAATTTTTAAATTTCTGATTTTAAGTCTAGTTTATGTCGTCATATTGGTGAAAAAAATGCATTTTTTTTACATTTTTCTCACTAATTAAATTACCCATAATTCAAAATTAAGGCCATTTTTAAAAAAATCCTTGAAACACGATTTTCGGGACAACCGTTACGATCATTTTGAGCCGTAAATGGAGTATGAAATGTGGGAACGTTTTTTATCTGGAAAAGACCACAGGTGACCCCGAAATGGAACGCGGGTTCGATTCGAATTCCCCAGATCTAACACGATCAAACACAGTTTGGATTCTATAAAATGTGGGAACTTTGAAGCCAAAATTTGAACACCGTGAAGAGCAGGGAGGTCTACCAGTGGGGTGTAGGGAAGAGCAGGGTGGCCTACCAGTGGGGTGTGGGGAAGAGCAGGGTGGTCTACCAGTGGGGTGTGGGGAAGAGCAGGGTGGTCTACCAATGGGGTGTGGGGAAGAGCAGGGTGGTCTACGAGTGGGGTGTGGGGAAGAGCAGGGTGGTCTACCAGTGGGGTGTGGGGAAGAGCAGGGTGGTCTACCAGTGGGGTGTGGGGAAGAGCAGGGTGGTCTACCAGTGGGGTGTGGGGAAGAGCAGGGTGGTCTACGAGTGGGGTGTGGGGAAGAGCAGGGTGGTCTACGAGTGGGGTGTGGGGAAGAGCAGGGTGGTCTACGAGTGGGGTGTGGGGAAGAGCAGGGTGGTCTACGAGTGGGGTGTGGGGAAGAGCAGGGTGGTCTACCAGTGGGGTGTGGGGAAGAGCAGGGTGTTTCGTTCATTGTCATTGAATAAGCCTGGTTAATTAACCATGGCACCTTAATTTGTTTAATAAATACGTTACCCCAATAACAGGAGCGGTTCCACTGGAAGGACCTACCCTGGCAGGCCATCTCTATAGGTGTAGGAATCGGAACCTTGTTGTACAAGACCCGCAAGAGCGAAGAGTTGGAGCTTCGCAGGAACAACCTGGCGTATGTCAACAGCCAACTTTCCCAGCTGTACGGTCCTCTGTACGGCAACAGGCTGGCCAATCACAGGAGCTACAAGGAGGCTCTCCAGGGTCACGACAACCTGGTGAAATTTCTCCGGGAAGCCGAGAGAAAATGGCGGGACCCGGAGACAACGGATGAAGGGGTACGCTTGTTGACGAGATGGCGCAAGTTTCTGTTTTACGTCATGCATCCGCTGGATCTGAAGGCTGAGGAAATCATACGTGACAACGCACATCTGTTTGAACACGGAGTTGAGGAGGCCGACCTCTTTCGGAAGTTCGTCTTCCACGTCAACTACGAGAAGATGATCGTGGCCAACTGGCAGGAGAAGGGGGAGGTCCTCGGGAGCAAGGAAGTCTTCGAGGAGAGGGATTTCTCCCGAGAAACCAACGCTGGGAAGTCTGACCTGGAGACTTTTGACATGTTTGGTCAAGTCGTTAAACATGTGAAGGAAACGTACGAAAAACTCGTGGAAAGGAAAAAGTCTCTGATGCGAGAAATAGAGGAAAGGGGCGGGCACTAAGTTGAAGATCACTGCATGAGAACTTGGTTTACAGGTGGCTTTAAAGTGGTGTGGGTTTGGTCCCCGTTGCAGCTTGTTCTGGAACTGCAGGGGACTTTCTGGTGAATTCTTTTAAAGCCTATAACGTTAAGTCCAGATAGGCACAACTATTTTCATTTTTGGTATGTAAGTAGCTGAAAGAGAAATGTACATAATTAGATGCAAATTATGCAAATGACAACTTAATTTGCATAAGTAAGGAGAGATCTAGAATTCTATAAGGTCTCGGACCGGAGTTTCTTTACGTATTCGTAGCAATTTGACACCCTCAGACCGACGGGCTGTCATTTCTTCGGCATAAAGGCAGATCGGAAGGGCACCTACCTTTCAACTCTTCCGGTTGAAAAGGGTGCTGTGCCGCTTATCACTAGACTTGATTGATATTTTGTGCGCACAATTTATTTAGGGGTGGATAAGGCTTAGAAAAGTACATTTTTAAATAAGGGGTCATTTTTTCGTCATTTTTAACCATGGCTGCATGGAAAAAATGAATTTTTCCTGGGTAACGGCTTAGTACTCGAAGAAGCTCAGTACAATGTTTCCGAAATTTGAATTTAATTAAAATCGATGCGATACGTTTACCGCTATCTTCGATGGCCCAAACACACCCACAACGCATATAGAACGCACCATCCCGGGGATCAGATGAAAAAGCCATATAACCATCCGCGCGGACTAATACCTGGAAGTCTTCGCTGGACCACCAACATTACAACACCTATAAAGGCTACAACTAACAGGCTTTTCAGAAAATGTGTACACAG